CATAGATAGATAAGGTCCCTGCTCTTAGAAAGCTTACATTCTAGTTGGAGAGACAAACCCTGTAGAAGTCAATATACCTGCCTGATGGTTTCATAAGCATTCTGGGGAAAATTGAGCTATGTATTGAGACAGAGCTGGTGGCAGTGGTGGAAGCTAAAAAAGAATGAATGAATGATGAGCTGCAGAGGCCAGAGTAAGACAGGCTGCACCCCACTGGGCTGGGGTAAGGGATTAGGGGTGGGGGGTGGATCTCAGATCCCAAGGCAAGGAGTGTGGGTTAGGTGAATCAGGCAGGGTTGGGCATACTCTGGTCCTCACAGCCAGGCCTTTGGGCACAGGAGGGAGTAGATAGGGAGTGGTGCAGATGCTCAGAATTCAGTGTAAAGGAGACTGCCTGGAATTGCTGACGGGAGCAACGCTGTGCACCCAATCATGACTCAGGTTTGACCTCTGCTTCTGGCAAATGACACGGGTGGAGGAGGATAAGAAGGATCTGCAGTTGTCCAAAGAGCCACCATGGCTCTCGTAGCTGACAGCCCTGTAAGGAGGTCCTCTCCAAACTCCAAACCTCTCAGTAAGGGGCATTAGGCTGAGGTTCAGCATGTGAGGTCCAGGCTAAGGACTAATGGATAGTAGAAGTTACTGAGTCTTCAGGGGATTAGTACTCAGGTGCAGATGTTGCCACAGGCTGCCCAACCCACCAGCCCTCAGGGAGGGAAAGCGGAGCCCTCACCAATGGGTCCCAGTGGGAGCTCAGCCATAGTCTGGTGGCTTGGCACTGTTCAGTTCTGTGCTGCAGGGGTCAAAGTTTCTGTGTGAGGAAGGTGGCCACAGCATAGTGGGGGATAAAGGGTCTAAGACCCAGCCCTGTCCTGGGGTTGGGGTACTTATTCTTATTTAGGGAATGGAGGACATTTAGCTCTAATACTAGTCAAGGCCCAAGTGAACATCATAGAAAGAGGTTCCCCAGAAAAGTAAAAGCAAGGGTACAAGAAACCAGGAGAAGCTTCTAGAAGCTTGAGATGGGCCTGTGGGATGAATCTGGCAGGCAGAAAAGGGGAGGGGCCTGAGAAGGAGGAATGAGTGGTATTACAGAGATCAAAATAACTCAAGCAAAGGTACAGAGAAAAGGAAGTGTGGTTGAATTCAGGCAAGGGCAGGACTGAATTTGGCTGGGAAGTCCTCAGGCTGAGTAAACTTTGAATACTTTCACCATCTGCCCTTCCCCAACACTCCCTCTGCACAAAATAAAAGGTCCTCCAAAGCCATAGCCAAGCAAAAATCGAAGCAGCAGAACCAGCTTGGTACAGGGGAAAGAACTTGGGCATATTTAGTCGAATCCAGACTCTTCTTTTGTAAGGACCTACAATCCTGGACAAGTTTCCCACCTTTTCTTAATTTACCCAAAGTTGGGACAAGTTACTCAACTTTTCTTTAAAAGATAAGCCTCAGTTTTCTTATCTATTTAAAAGTACTTACTTCATAGGGTAGATGGGAAAATTAAGATTTAGGTGAGTGTTTTGGTCATTGCAGGCGCTTAATAAACATATAAATTCTCTCAGCCTTTATAACACCAGGCACCTCTGCCATGTTAAAGCCACAGGGAGGGAAGGCGGAGCCCTCACCAGTGGGTCCCAGTGGGAGCTCAGCCACAGTCTGGTGGCTTGGCACTGTTCAGTTCTGTGCTGCAGGGGTCAAAGTTTCTGTGTGAGGAAGGTGGCCACAGCATAGTGGGGTATATGTTGTCAGTGCTCCCCCTTTTTTTTTAAATATCTTTTTAGTTGTAGATGGACAAAATACCTTTATTTTATTTGTTTATTTTTATGTGGTGCTGAGGATTGAATCCAGTGCCTCACGCATGCTAGGCAAGCACTCTACCACTGAGCCATAACTCCAGATCAGTGCTCCCTCTTGAAGAAGTCCCTATAGGTGTGCTCAGGATGCTTAGGCCATGTCTGCTCTGGCTTTGTTTCTTCTGCAACTACCTCTTTGAGGAGGGGAGCCAAGACCTCACTTAATGGCGCATGCATCTTGTATTGGTACTTGCTAACAGAAATTGCACAAAGCTGTCTCCACTTCTTCTTTCCCAGCATTCCTCACAGACTTCTCCATTTCCAAGGACCTAAGGAAGAATCTTCTCCTAGTGATTCCTCATTATCAAGTTAAGCACAGGCTACTTCCAGTTCCTCTTCACTCCTGGCCTTCAAGTACAGGCAGTCCTTCTATTCCTCCACCTCACTCCAAGCTGAGCCTGTCCCTGGGTCCTGGCTGGAACAACTCTTCACCCCTGATAAGTGGTCCCTTGCTGAGTGGCCTGGGTGCTTCGGAGGAGAGGGCAGTGGAGAGTACATCACACTGAGAACTGCAGACCTCTTGATACAAAACAGCTCTGGCCAAACCCTGAACTAAGAGACTTGACCAGACTCTAGCATGGGTTTTAGCAGCATAAGGCCATGTCCCTAGGATGTCAGTAGCCCCCTACCCCACCAAAGTGCCTGCT